TTCCAAACTCTATCCCTAATGGTTGGAGCAGACATAGAACCTGACCCTCTGATTGCACTTTTCGGCACTACAGGCGATAATGTTGAGCACCTGTCCCCAGGAAAACGCCAAATTCTGTCTTTTGCCTCGCTTTTGGCCAGGCGTGCAATATTGCTGAGGTGGGTAGATGCTGCTCCGCCCACCCATACCCAATGGTTGCGAGATATCATGGCCTGTTTAGCTTTGAAAAAAATATACTACTCAGCTCGCCAATCAAAAGAGAGGTTTTTAACGGTGCGGGGACCTTTTATGGAGCACTTTCATAATTCCCAAACAAGTTAAGGAGAGGATTTTATATCTCCTCGGCCCATCCTTGATTGGCTAGCGTACGGGCTCATAGTCTACATGTACGGTTGCTCTTCTATCTTGTTTTGCCCCTCTTTCCGCTCAGGTCGAGACCTGACTTCCGGCTGTTTTACATCTTACTCCAGGAATGAATACTAATTGGGCTAATTGACCTGCTGGGTTCTTTTTTTGGGAGGGGGAGGTTCTTTTCTTCGGGTAATGTTTGCATTTCTCTTTTCACTGTACCCAGACAGGTTTACTCTTCCTGAACGGAATAGACCTCTTGTCAATGTTAGATGCCTGTCGTTCACATTTTGGTATCTGTTTCTTTGTTCAAAAAGTTAATAAAAATATCTGAGAAAAAAAAAAAGTGTCAGTAATTTTTTCCAGCCCATTTTTGGAGTTCCCTGTGGCATGGATCAGATTTGGCTTGTTTTTTTTTCCTGCTTACTGTTTTTCTCTGTGTACAAATCTCACCTTTGTGTCTTGTCCTAGTTGTCCTTTTCTCCTCATTCTGCACTTTGCTAAATAGTAAAATCTGACCTTAATGTGTATCTGTGCATCATACAATGACAGTGTTCAAGTTCAAAGTGTTTATTTGTCATATGCACAGTTAGGAAACGTGTTTCCTTGTACAATGAAATTTTTACTTGTATGCCACAAAATACAAATGAAATATAAAGTATATAAATAAATAACACAATCTAAGACACTTTAAGCAGCAATATAATAAATATATAAGAATATAACAATGTATGCTGCATGGGAGCAGCATGTGCAGCACTCAATGTGCAATTATGCATGTGCAAACAATGTAAACAGTACATCACTTATTTCCTGGTATAAACTCCTCAGCTGTTTAGGAGTCTGATGGCAG